ATTCATCAAAAAAAAGGTAAAGGTCTTAAAATATCTCAAGTTTAAAAAAATTTATTTCTTGATTGAAAATAACTTAAAAAAATTATTTTATATAATAAAATATTTTATATAATAAAAATGGTAAATTCCGATATATATTAAATATTACTGAAAAAACAATTATTGATGAGGGCATCAAAAAATATGAATACAGAGAATGTCCTACTACTACTAATATAGATTTAAATTCTCCTGGATCTCTTATACAAATTAATATTGGAAGTTCAGAAGGGTTTTTACGTCCATCTGATTCTTATTTAATGATTGAAGGAAGACTTCTAAAAGCAGATGGAACATCCTATGAAAAGTCTGATGCTATATCACTAGCAAATAATGGAATCATGCACTTATTTCAAAGAATTGAATATAATCTATCAGGTGAAACGGTAGAGTCAGTTAATTTTCCAGGTCAAGCAACTACAATGCTTGGAATTTTAAAATATACAAATGACTTTCAACTATCAAAAGGTATGAATCAATTATGGCATAAAGATAGTGGAACATCAGCAAGTTTTGCAGATAACTTAGGATTTTCAATAAGACAATCGTATATAATTCAGAAACCAACTGCAAAAAGAACATTTTCATTTTATATTCCTTTAAGACATATTTTTGGATTCTGTGATGATTATGATAAAGTTCTTTATAGATTACAACATACAATTACTTTTACAAGAAAAAGTGACGATAATGCAATTTATAAAGCTTCTGGAGTAGCTGCAGGTAAAGTAGTTCTTAGTAAGATGTCAATATTTATGCCTCGTATAGAACCAGCATTAATTAATGCTGGTTATTTAAAAAAAATTATTGCAGGACAAGAACTACTTCAAGTTAATTTTCGTTCAAGATACTGTGAAATGACAACTGTGGAAAAAAATAATACTATATTTGATTGGAATATAGGATTAAGAACTACTGAAATACCAAGATATGTAATTGTAGGATTTCAAACAAACAAAGATAATGATCAAACACAAAACTCTTCATCATTTGATCATTGTGATTTAAAAAACATGTGGATTGAACTAGGTAGTACAAGATATCCTTATGCAGGATATTCATTATCTTTTCCAAATATGCGATTCTCAAGGATTTATGAAGAAGCTATATCATTTTCTAATAATTATTATAACGTTCCAGATCCTATACAACTAGGAAACATAACACCTTCAGACTATAGAGATTTATATTCAATTATGGTATTTGATATAAGCAAACAAGACAGAGATACTCTAGGTGTAATGACTAGCATTTTTATTAAATCAGAATTTAATACAGCTATTCCAGCAAATGCTAGAGCATATGCTATAATCATATCTGATAGATCAGCAAAACTTGTTTCAAATGGAGAACTTCTTACATTTAAATACTAAGTACTGAAAAGGACTTACAAAAATCCAACGCATGCGCATAAATTACAAAAGTCACGTGATCTGTAATGTCACAGCAAAAAACGAAATCGTTACTAAAATTGATTTAAAATTTCTTATTTCTCGTTTATATAATTATACACATTATGGTTAATATCAAACCATATATTTAAGTAAATATATGGTTTAAAATATGATTAAAAATGAAAATGAGCTAGAATCGGCATTTCTCTAGTAGTAATAATGGTTTGTTTCTATTTAACTAAATAAGTATAAGAATAAGATAAAAGATTTCCTTTACCTTTGAAATCATTTGAAAGTGTTTATTATGTAAACAAAATTTTATTGAGGTTTCCTTTTTTTTTCTCAAGAGTTTGTTATATTGTCCTCATAGTGATTTCAAAAGTGTTTTTAAAACTAATTGTAATTGTTTGTTATAGGAGAAAAAACCAAACTTGTTTATCATTGTAAATCGCACAAAGAGACGTTGCATTGTATCAAAAAATATGAATTAAGAATAAAAACATCATTTTTGGAATATAACATGCTAATAAAAATTTTGGTAACACGGGTTAGCTAAATGCCAAGCGTTCTTACATTTTGAATTCTTTGCAGAATTTTCAAATAATTTTTTTGCGTTAAGTTGTCAACTAAATATTTTTATTTTAGATACAATAACCGCGAGTCATTGTGTACTTTAGAAGGATTCGGCTATCAGGGTTAGGGTTAGGGTTAAGATTTTGGTCAGGGTTTTTGATTAGGGTTTGGGTTAGGGTTTGTTTCAGGGTCCGGTGTAGGGTTAGGGTTACGGTTAGTGCAAGGATCAGGGTAAGGGTTTGATTAGGGTCAGGGTTAGTATGATTTAACCTTAACCATAACCCTTACTCTGATCAGTCTAAGCCAGACGAAATAAAAACGTCATCTTTAAAGGTTATCAGACAGTCCCATAAGACAGAATAAGTTGAATAATTTCGTTTGCCGTAGAGTTTTTCCCATTGCTCAGAAGTAAGTAGTTTTTTTCGAAAACTATTGAGTTTATAAATAAAAGTTGATAAAAACTGACACGAGGTTAAAGTAAGTTTTTATAAGGGTTTATATTCATTTTTTTATGACTTTTATGTTTAAAACATAAGTAATCTTATTAGTTTATGTATTTAATATATTTACATAGTAATTGATGTATTTAACATATTTGTATTTCTGTTTTACATTTTTATTTAATATTTAACTATGTTTTAAATCATTACAAAACTTGTGTATTTCAAATATCTACGTAATAATTTACGTGTTTAATAATCTACAAAGCATTTCGCGTAATAAAATATTTTTTAAAAAACGTTACATTATTATAATTTCCTATCAAAATTTTAGTTTTTTGAGCTTTGAATTTTTCTTTTTTTTTAAGATTTTCTCTTTGTTATATAATTTGTCTTACAAATTTTCTTATTATTTTCAGCTCATTTTTAAACGCATAACGTTGTCAATAGTGCTGTGACCAAAACTAAAAATTGTAACAAACTAAACTAAAAATACCGTGACTAAAATTAGTCGACTAACTTTTTAGTTAACTAAAATCAGTCGACTAACTTTTTAGCTAACTAAAATCAGTCGACTAACTTTTTAGTAAACTAAAATTACGCGACTAACTTTTTAGTTAACTAAAATTACCCGACTAAGCTTTTTGTTAACTAAAAATACGCTACTTTGTTTTTAGTCCAACTAAAGAATTTTATATATATATAATATAAATAATTTGGGTTCATGATATCATTTCTATTTAAATTTTTGAATAAGATTGCAAATGCATAATTATTTTATTGCATAATACCGCAAAAATAAAAAAATATCAGAATAATTTTCTTTCAATTTTCAGTTCCAAAGGTTTAGTATTAGTGTATCAAGATACTTCAAGAAATTATTATAAACAAGATACTTCAAGAAAATTTTTCATAAAAAATCCAAAAAGTAAACATAGTAAATCACAAATATCTATAGAATTGAATAAGCTACCAAGGCCAACGCAAAGGGGTGTAAGGATGGGTTGGTTGGTTTCGTGTGTGACATCCCATCAATGAACTTTTAGCTCATTTAGTAAGCCAATTTGACTCTTTTAAATAAATAAGTTGGCAAATGTAGATTTTCGGAACAGTCAGTTGGTAAATTTAAAAAAACAAGAACTTTTTTTTCCTTTTTTCTAGTAAGTATATATTCTTTAGTATTTTTTTAAACATCTATCTAATGAAATCACCTATCTAATATAAAAGTATATAAAAAAAATAATATAAAAATAATAAAAATAATATAAAAAACATCTAATATAAAAATAAATATAATAAAAAAGTTATTGAATTTTAGTTGATAATTGTTACGACCCGGTTTTACACGTATTTTAAAGTGCTTTAAAAACTACATATTGCATTTTTCAAGTAATTAAAATGTCATAAATAATTTCCTGGTTTTAAAAGCGACCGCAGTTCTTAATAAAATGTTTTCATTATTTAACAGTTAAGTATTATTTAATACATTTTATACACTATTCAACAACTTATATTGCGGATATTACATTCAAAAATGCAAATACCAATTTTCCTTTTAAATTTTGCAAGTATCGCCAACCGACAAACAACTATACTCTGAAAACATAAAAAATAAATTCATAATAACTTATTTAACAATTTCCTTTTGGGTTCATGTCAATACTTTCGCCTGCCTTACTATAGTGTTTGCGGTTGCAATAGCCGTTAGGAGAGGTTGATATTTGAAGAGGTGGGGAGGGGAGTCAGAGATTTGTTGTGAAAATTAAAGATTGAATCCATTCCTATAATATGGCAGGGGACAGCCCAGCAAACATTGAGCAGTCGGACCGACAACGGACCGCTGTCAGCACTTAAGCCGTGCCAACGTCGGCCGGCCTGCGTTGCCGCGTAGGCTTGCACATCGTATTTACATCGGTCCGTTAGCAGCAATCTGCAGGCGGCTCGATAGCGTTCCGATGGCGGCAAATCGCAAACTTTTTAACAACGGACCGTCAGCGGCAAACCGATGAAAAAACGATAGCGGAATAACATAGGACCTTTTATATGTTTTGATCAAGATTGGAATGCATTAATATGCATATCATAATTTTTTTTTTATTTGAACCAAACGCACTTAAAGGAAATTTTTAAATATTTTTAGCTCAATTTTTACGCTAAAAAGAATGGCAAACCCTGCTTAAGCCTGGAAAGCACATCAAATACCTTTTAACTTTGTGCTTAGTTATATAGCCATTAAATACTTAATAAATCAACACAAATTTAGTAAATGATACTCATAACATAAAGAAACACTACCATAACTGTAAATCATTAGGTCATACGTTGCAACGCTTAAGCTCGGTGAACAAATATATGAACAAAAAGAACAATCTGAAGTAATAATAAAATCCTTTTAAGATTGCAATTTACAACTATAACATAAATATTAAAGTCAAAAAATTTTTTTCTTATATCTAAAACAAAATATAAAAGATATTAACATCTATCGACTTTGCTTAACTTGCGTTTGGAGAACCTCCTTTGGAGTATTTCTAGTTTAAAAAATTAATTGTAAACACTTTATATATAAGTTTAGTTTATTCTCATTTCAATCGGAAACTAAATATATTCGAGAAGCCATAACGTGTTGAAATCGATTTACGTTGCAGTCTGCAGACTTCTAATTTTTACCTAAAAAGCAGACAACAATATCCAATCAAAATATTGAAACATTTCAGTTTAGAGCTATTATAACGAAACAAACTAACCTTCTCAGCCCTTAAAGACGTTACGTTTAAAAGTTTCATCGCCAGCTATTGACAAGTAACTCCACATACTAAGTGTATCTCCATTGAATAAATGAAAAACTCATTTTAATATTAAAACATAATTTAACAGATAAAAACAGCAAAAACATTGTTTAATTTGAAAAGTTATGTAACTACTTTTAAAAAGCTATATAAAAATAAAGTCATATATATTATGTGCTTTTCTTGAAAAACTTAATAAACAGTAAGCTTAAATACAACTTCTGACTAATGCTCTACTTACCAATATAGTCGAGGGGTTGAAATAAGTATCTTTTTTCATGTAACAAAAAGTCGACATTTGAATTAGAAAAAATCTAAACATGAAAAAGACAAGAGTAAGTCACTATTATGATATTAAATTGCAGAATGTTTTCAGATGCCTAGTTTTTATGATAATTATATTAAAGCAGACACTGATTTATAATTAAAATAAAAAAACTATCCATTTAAGACGAGCATAATAAACTAACTTTTTCAAACTTTAAAGGCATCATTTGAAGCAAGTATGTCTCATTCCCAGTTATTAGCAAGTAACTCCATCGACTATGTGTATCTACATTGAGTTACTACCAGTTTTTTCTAGGACATAACCCTAACCCTGATCTACCATGTCTAAATAAAATTATAGTTTTATTATTGAACATAGTTTTCACTGTACCAATAAAAGTGTAGCTCAATATAAAAAACTATGAAAATAACTTGAGAAAAATGAAAGCTATAAAATTAGAATAACTACCATACCGGCGCCATAATTTTCAAATGATTGAGGGTTTTAAACAAGTACAAATTTGTGACCATATTAAGAACACAAAAATTTATTCAAAATCTTTAATCCAGTTTGCAAGTTAAACAACTCTGCTAAACCCACGATAATATTAGGATCATGGCCGACATAACCCTTGAACAACATGGAGACAAAAGCAAATAAATCTGCAAATAAATATTAGTAAATCAGTAAATCAAAGTGTGACATTAAGTCAAAATAATTTTCAAGACAATCTTAAAAAAAAGTCTTAAAAATTAAAAATATTAAATTAAATAAAAATTAAAATAAGCAACCTTAAAGCTTAATTCTTTTCACTAAAACAGATTTTCATTAATTATTATTATTTAACCCTACCTTATATAATATGCCCTCTACATTGTATAATATATATTATATAATGTAAAGCGCAATAATTAATAATAATGATACGTAGTAGATACAGATATTTCCCATTATATATATATATATATATATATATATATATATATATATATATATATATATATATATATATATATATATATATATATATATATATATATATATATATATATATATATATATATATATATATATATTATATATACTTTCATAACTCATCATGGCATATGAAAGTATATAATCATCAATATAAGTCAATATACATCTATATAAAGTCTATAATTTATTTTTTAAATCAAATATATGTATTTCAAGTTGTATTAATATTACAACATATCAATATTTGTATATGAATTTACGTATCATATATTATATAATATTAAGTATATAATATATATAAGTCAATATATAACTCAATATATCAAATTATTATATAATATAATATTATATATGATACGTAAATTCATATACAACATATCGTACGTCATATGATATATCATATGACATGATGTTATATATGAATTTATGTATCGTTTACAAGTTGTTGTATAATAATAATATAAAACAACTTTATTTGATACGTAAATTCATATATAACATATGATACCATTCATACATAGCCTATAATATGGTACCTAATTTCATATATAACTTAAAAATTACATATAGTAATTAATTTCGTATATAACTTGAAATATATATTTAAAATAAAATGTGAATTATAGACTTTATATAGTATATACTATATAAAGTCTATAGTTCACATTTAATTTCAAGTTATACATGAAATTGAATATAAAATAACATAGAGAGTTTTATATGACTCATATACTCTTATCATGAGTCTTCGTAATATATTATATTATAAATACTCGTATATCTAGATATACGAGTATTTATAATATAATATATTACGAAGACTCATAATATGTAACATAACATAATAAAGATATCTTTATATTATATAAAGACGTATAAACTATATGAGTATATATATTCCACAACTTTTCATTTAATGTTTAATAACTTTCCATTTAATGTTATTCTATAACTTTATATTATTTTGTAATTTTCACTATCTATTTGATATGAAATATACAAAGTATATATGTTTTTACTCGAGTCTATATATATTTAATAAACTTAAGTAAAAAATATATATACTTTTTGTATTTCATTTCAAATAGATATGAAAGTTATAGCTTTACTGTATATTCTAAGACTAAGACTCTTAGTCTTGCAATATACAGTAAAGTTTATAAGTAAACAGTTAGGTAAACTTAAACAGTAAAGCTCATGTTATAATTTTAGGCATGTAAGTTATTTGCTAAATAAACTTTATTTACATACCTAAAATTATTATTTAATAAAGTTTCTTTTCATTTTAGCGTTAACTCTTACTAAGCTTAGTAAGAGTTAACTCTAAAATGAAGAGTTACCTCTTACTAAGCTTAGTAAGAGTTAACGCTAAAATGAAGAGAAACTTTATTAAATAAAAATTTAGGCAAGTAAATAAAGTTTATTTACATGCCTAAATTTTGGGCATGTAAATAAACTTTATTTACTTGCCTAAAATTATTATTTAATAAAGTTTCTCTTCATTTTAAAGATATTTAATAAAGTAACATTTAATTTAATAAAGTAACATTTTTAAAGTTATTTAATAAAGTAACATTATTAAAAAATAATTTTAGGCTAAAATTATTTTTTAATAATGTTACTCTCTTAATTTTAGAGTTACCTCTTAGTATTTAATAAACACTAATAAAATAAAACCATAAATCACTATATATCGATATCGACCAATCAAAGTCTCATGGCGCTTGAAACGCTTGCTTTTGATGTTTTTTACGACAGCTTACCGCCATCCAAAAGCCCACTTTGGCATTGTGTGAGCAACGCTACAGCGTATCGTGATGAACTTACCGAAGCTGGCATGCCCATTTAAAATTGCATTGGCGACGAAGTGTTTTATCGCTCTTCGGCCGATGGCGGAAAGCCAACATAAAATAGGATGCCGGTCCTGCATCAGCTACCCGGCAGCGGCAAGCCGCATTAGGCATAACAAAGGGTCAGCACTGGCTTACCGGCGGCGGCTTTGCGCATCACGGTCCGCTGAAAGCAAGTTTGCTGGGAGGGCTGTACTGAACAACGAAGACGTAGGGGAAGGGGGTGCAAACGAAATAAGCTTTTTTACCATAAAAATCTCACCAAAGTAGGGTTTTTTATAATTTAAAAGCCAAGTTGCAGTTTTAACCGACCGATTCTCAAATTTTCTAAATTACCGACAAAACCGACAGAATGTTGTAACCCCGGGAAGGTGCCCATACCCACGTCGGTACGGCCTTGGCAGGAGAGATTATTTTTGATTTTCAAATATTATTGCACACTACCTATAGAAAGCAGCACATAAAAAATATAAGTTAAACGTTCAAAAAGCGTACCAAATTTGATATAATTGACTAAAGGGCATTACTTGTATATTCCATGCTGATTGGGTGTTTATAAACAGTTGCAACAACTTCATAGGCAGTTGTCTCAGAGCTGGGAAAAAATTAAAATAATCGAATTTTGCATAAAACATTTCTTTTGAATAACAGTTTAGTTCGACTGGGCTCTAGGATTCACAACTAGTTAAGTGGTTAATTACGATAAAATAATATTTATCGCCTTAATAATGCTTCCTTTTTTCCTTTAGATTATTTCTTTTTTCAAGCACTAAATCTTGCTTTAGTCGACTAAATTTAGTTACACTAAATATTTATTCGACTAATTTGAGTAAACTAAAAAGTTAGTCGACTAATTTTAGTTAGACTAAAAAGTTAGTTGCTTAATTTTAGTTAGCTAAAAAGTTAGTCGGGTAATTTTAGTTAGCTAGAAAGTTAGTCCGGTATTTTTAATTAACTAAAAAGTTAGTCGGGTAATTTTAGTTAACTAAAAAATTAGTCGACTAATTTTAGTTAACTAATAAGTTAGTTGACTAATTTTAGTTAACTAAAAAGTTAGTTAACTAATTTTAGTAAGACTAAAAATTTAGTTAAGTATTTTTAGTTAGACTAAAACTAACCTTAACTCCCACCCCTAGTTGTCAAGTCAAATTGTGCTGTCAAGTTGTAAAAACAAAATATTTTAAGCCTGTTAAGGAATGGCGTTCGATCGCACTACTTTGATTTTGTCGCATATGTCGGGCAAACTTCTGTCTTTATCTATGTCCGACAGAAAATAGTTTGCTGTTTCGAGCCTTGCATAACCATTATTTCTTTTTTTTAAAACAGCGTAATAAACTGTTCGCATATATTTTTGTTTAACTTTTTAATAAAAGTTGTGCGTACATTTTAATTGTTTTTAAAAAAATCTCAAAAACTATTTGTTTAATCAAAAAACATACCAACAGTATACTATCAAAATCATTTTTGATTTAAATTTCACCGTCATTAAATTGTAAACAGCATATGGTTTTTTTTATAAGAACAAATGCAATTTCTTAGGTTCCGTTTTAGCGTGTATCATATGGAGTCCCTCAATTTCTATACTAGGACCTCTTTTCTTTCTAGTTTAAATTGATAATCTCTGTAAAGCTTCAAATTTACTGACGGTCATGTTTGCCGATGATACAAATCTCTTTTTATCTCATAAAAACATAACAACATTATTCTAAATATGAACATTGAATTAAAAAAAGTTGTTGACTATTTTAAAATGAATAAGCTGACAATAAACAATGAGAAAACGAAATAGATATATTTTTATCAAACTTAATAAAAAGGTTACTACCTCCTGTCATGCCCTTACTTTTTATTACAATATTTCAAATAAAAAGAGAACTAACTACTAACTTTCAAGAAATCAATAAGGATAATCCTATGTTGGAAGTATCACAATGATTTGCTGTGCACAAAATTGCTCAAAATATGGGAGTAATGTACAAAGCTAGAAATGCTCTAAATAAACACAGTGCAACACAACTATACTTCTTATTTATAGATTGCCAAATAAATTATGCAAATGTTGCACGGGGAAAACCCAATAAATCAAACTGGTACCTCATTATTGTCAGCAAAAGCATGTTACTCGTTTTATCAATTATAAACTTGATTAGCTCATGCCAAACCATTATTATTTCAAATAAAAATTTCTAATATTTATTTATAAACAAAACAAAGCACTATATTATATATAATATATACTTTGTTTTATGGGCAAATGTAAAAACAATGCATCTCCTGTTTCTTTTCATAGTCAATATACCTTAAAAGAAAAAAATAAATATAACTTAACAAATGATTATCTAATTAAGCAAACTTTTTTATCTGAATAATTTTGGAAAGTCATGTATTTTTTTTCAAGGAGCATTTTTATCGTACAAATTAGTTATTAAATGAATGTCTTTCGTTCAAAAAAAAACCTGAAAAATATTACTTTATCACATGACGACTTTTATATATCTGAAAATAAAAATAAAGCTTGTTACATAAGGTAATATATAATAATACATCTGATCAACATCTGATGTGTTTGTGAAAAAAGTATTTTTTAAAATAGTTTGTTTTCATATATAAAAGTATCAAGAATTTCTTTATACTATTTTTAATTATATACTCCTACAAATTTAATTTTAACGCAAATTTTTACTACAGCATTGTTTAGTTTTTTTAACTTTATATTTCATGGTAGTTTAATTTTTATGTATATTTTCATAATGTTCACAAGCAGTTCTTGATGAGATGACCTGAATTTATTTTGGGAGTCTCCGCTTTCTTACTTTTCTTTTATAACTATAACTGTATATTTTACTATATTTTTTTATTGTATAACAACTTTTATCTTAAATATCTTACCATATAAACTTATTAAATATTTAAGTAAAAAACAAATATATACATACATATATATATATATATATACATATATATATACATATATATATATATATATATATATATATATATATATATATATATATATATATATATATATATATATATATATATATATATATATATATATATATATATATATATATATATATATATATATATATATATATATATATATATATATATATATATATATATATATATATATATATATATATAGATATATTAGCAAACTCAGATAAGTCAGTCTCTGAATTTTTAGACACTATTGCTTTAAATAACTTTCTGCCCTTTATTTTATTGCCAACAAGAATCACAAACTACACCAAAACTCTAATTGATAACATATTTTCTAATACAACTTCTACAAATATTTTTGCCGGTAATTTTACTTCTACGGTATCCGATCATTTGCCCCAATTTTTAATACATTCATTTTGTAGAACGAAAATTAATACTCGTAAAAGCTGCATTTTTCGTCGAAATTTAAAACAATTAAATTGCGTCGAATTATGTAGTGATTTCTCAAAAATTAGCTGGACTAATGTAATCAATGTCAACGAAAGTAAGACTAATAAGTCATTTGAAGAGTTTTTCTCAAGTTTCAATTCTCTTTTAGATAAACATGCACCATTAAAAAAAGTTAGCAATTGCTGCTTATCAAGGGGTCTCAAACCTTGGATAACACGAGGAATCTTGACTTCTGTTAAAATGCGAAATAAAATATTTAACATATTTCTTAAAGCAAAGAATCCTAATAACAATCTCAATCTAGAAAAATCTTATAAAACATATAGAAACTTACTTGTTACTCTCACCCGTCGTAGTAAAAAAAAGCGTTACTCTAAGTTCTTCTCTGCAAATGCCAAAAATTTGAAATCTACATGGGATGGTATTAAGAACCTTTTAAACATTAGTTCGAGAGTTAACTCATCTCCTTCATGCTTATCTTCTACCAACTCCATGACATACGACCCCATTAAAATTTTGGAATCTTTTAATTAATTCTTTGTTTCAGTTCCGGAAGATATAAAGAATAAGATCCACTCATCCAATACTGACTTTAATAAATATCTTAAAAAGTATAATCTTAATTCAATGTTTATAAAACCTACAGACAAAAACGAAGAATTATTGATTATTCATTCTCTTCATGACAGCAAGGTTTCGGGACCTAACAGCATTCCAATACCTATTTTTAAAGCTCTTGCAAATGATATCTCTCCTGTACTTTCTGAACTATTTAATCTGTCATTCACAACCGGTGTAATCTCTGATATTTCAAAAACTGCTTCTGTTATCTTAATTCATAAAAAAAACTCAAAACTTGAATGTAATAACTACAGACCAATATCATTATTATCAAATGTCAGCAAACTTTTAGAAAAAATTATGTATTCTCGTGTTTACAACTTTTTGAATAATTCTGCTTGTTTTCATATTCGACAATTTGGGTTTCGCTCAAATCACTCCACTTCTCACGCTCTTATTATCATTACTGAAATGATTCGTGGTGCAATTGACAGTGGTTCTATTGCTTGTGGTGTATTGATAGATCTTCAAAAAGCTTTTGATACGGTGGATCACAACATTCTAATAAAAAAGTTAAACTACTACAAAATACTTTGTATTGCTAATCATTGGTTTACTTCATATATTACGGATCGCACTCAGTTTGTTTCAATTAATGGATTTGAATCCACACATAAAGTTATTAAATATGGCGTTCCACAAAGTTCCGCTCTTGGACCGTTGTTGTTCTTATTATATATAAATGATTTATCTTGTTCATTAAAAAATTTTATGATACATCAATATGCTGACGATACCAATCTTTTATATATCAACAAGTCCCTCACAACTTTTTGTAAAAAAGTTAATCAAGATCTTCATCGCTTATGTAACTGGTTAAATAGTAACCGTATTTTCTTGAATGTCAATAAGACTGAATACATTATTTTTCATTCCCCTAAAAAAACTATTGCTCATATTAAAATTAAAATTACCGGTAAAAAAACTTTTTCCATCAAATTCTATAAAGTATATAGTCTTGGAATATATCTTGATGAAAAACTATCTTGGTATAATCAACTGTATCATCTAGAAAAAACTTACATGAGCTAACAGTATGCTTTCTCTAATTCGTTACTATGTTCCTATCGAAACTCTTGGAATGACTTAATTTTCTTTATTCTCTTCTCACCTTTGCTATTATTGTATATTTTGGGGTCAAAAAAGAAACTTTTTAATTAATAACATTGCTAGTTTACAACGCGCATCTTTTAGAATAATGACGTTTTCCCCAATGAGATCTGGTATCGAAAAAAAAATTTCTGAACTAAAAACCCTAAAACTCCATAATCTTGTAAAGTTTTACAATTGTCTTTTTGTGTTTGACTTTCTCCAAAATAAACTACTAACACAGCGCATATATTTGAACTTTACGTTTAAGTAAAACCATGTTTTTACATGGCTTTACTTAAACGTAAGGTTCAAATATATGTTTTTACAGAACTTCTTGAGAATAAGAAAAAAAAATAAATCGTTTAAATTTTTTAATAATATAATTGTGCTGAGTTTTATAAATTATAATTTTGTAAACTTTTTCTTCCACTTGTTAATTTCCAAGAATCGAATGTTCGAACAGTGACGTCATTCACCTTCTTTTCGATCAGGTGCACTCTTTAAAATATTACCACCAGCATTTTAAAGTGTTTTTTTTGCTGTAGGAATCAGGGGAGCAGTCTTAACCATAAAAAAATATTGTCAAGATAAGTATGTAAAAATAAAGGGGAAAGAAATAAATAACACACACACACGCACGCACACACACACATATATAGGGTAAAATAATAATTATATATATATATATATATATATATATATATATATATATATATATATATATATATATATATATATATATATATATATATATATAATTGTTATTTTACAAATATAACATCAAATATAACATAATACAAATTTCTCAACACTAAATTTATTTTTTTAAGAAATTTTTCAATGGATTGTTGTAACCAGCGTATATATTTATGTAAATCAAGTATGCAATATAATTGCGGAATTAAAAATGCTCTATTTATTACTTACTTTGAAAGCATGCCCTTCTCAAATGCACTGCATGATGAGCCATCATCATTTAATAACTTTTATTTCTAAATTCAAAAGATGTGTAATTGAATGGGACAAAATAGTGTAATTTAATGGGACAATTTAGTGTAAGTTATATTGGGCATAGAAACAATTCATTAGTGTTTTAATCAATTCAAAAATTTTGGTTAAATTATGTATATTTGTAAAGTGAGCAGCAATATGTATATAATTACAGATTAAAATGTTTTATGTAATTTATAATAGTAATTTACCTTTATAAAGAAAACTAAATGTTGAACCATAATAAAAATATACTACTTTTTGCAACATTTGTATGAGAAATGCTTGATCACATTCAAGAAACTTGGAAATACAATCACACTAGTAAAGATCAAAACTATTTTCAACTTTAAACGATTTTACATTTGATTATTCTTAAGATAAGTAAGTAAATGAATAAAAGACTATATATTAGTTAATTGAAAAATATGCTTTTATAATTTATATATATATATATATATATATATATATATATATATATATATATATATATATATATATATATATAT